GGAGTGGGGAGTGGGGCATCAGCATCGGGTACCCTGTAGGCAGGTGTCGTCACGGATCGGACTCCGACAAGAGTGAAACTTATCAAACATCATCGCCGCAGACACACACACACACACACACACGCATCAGCGCACGCATTTATGTGTTTATGTGTGCGTGCGCGCGTTTCAAGAGGAAAGAGGGGAACCGCGTTGGCGTTGCGAATCAGCCAGGGATAACCTGATCGTGTGCTAAAATCACGGCGCAGCTCAGACTAGAGGTGTCGTGCGCACAGAAGCATCTGCATCATTCGTCTTGGTGGCATCAAGGAGCAGGGGTCAGCCAGGGATAACTGCATCAAGTGCTTACTCGTCACGTGTTGTTATCGGAAGAGGTGTCAGAGGCACACGGTTCGGCATCATGCTCCCCCGCCCAGTTAGCGCAGCAGAAGAAAAAGGGAAAGAGAGAGAAAGGGGGATGCTTGAGCGGGCATTTTCCTCACACACACACACACACACACACACACACACACACACACACACACATATGGCATAATGCAAATGAAGAAAAGGAGAGGGAGGAAAGGAAAGAGAGAAACAACGAATGGCAGTCGCAGCGCCCCCTATCCCTTGGCCAGGCATTCCCTCGCGCAACACACCGAAAGAGACCGCACCGCGACGTCAGACTGTGAGAGACTGCAGCGTTGCGCCGCACGCCCTCCAAGCTGTGGTGTTTCATCCGTGTCGGGAATAAGACGGCTCTTACCTCGGAGTCATCGCCCGTCGCGGCGGCTGGTCGGGGCGACCGCATGTCTCAAACTAGCAGCCTCGGCCCACGCTGTCACACAGGAGGCGCCGTCAGGAAAAGGAAAGCGAGAAACGGGGAGTGGGGAGTGGGGCATCAGCATCGGGTACCCTGTAGGCAGGTGTCGTCACGGATCGGACTCCGACAAGAGTGAAACTTATCAAACATCATCGCCGCAGACACACACACACACACACACACGCATCAGCGCACGCATTTATGTGTTTATGTGTGCGTGCGCGCGTTTCAAGAGGAAAGAGGGGAACCGCGTTGGCGTTGCGAATCAGCCAGGGATAACCTGATCGTGTGCTAAAATCACGGCGCAGCTCAGACTAGAGGTGTCGTGCGCACAGAAGCATCTGCATCATTCGTCTTGGTGGCATCAAGGAGCAGGGGTCAGCCAGGGATAACTGCATCAAGTGCTTACTCGTCACGTGTTGTTATCGGAAGAAGTGTCAGAGGCACACGG